CTCTCTCTCTCTCTCTCTCTCTCTCTCTCTCTCTCTCCCCTCTCTCTCTCTCCACCCCCCTCTCCCTCACTCTCTCTCATCGTCTCCTCCTCAGGTATTCGCGTCCGTCCGCCGCGGCCTGTACGACGCGCTCGACGCGTGCGGCGACGACAACGACTGCAGCATCCGCCACCTGAGGGCGCTAGGAAACGCCGGCGACGCCGACAACGTCGCCGTCTTCCTTCGACTGAACGCGCGCGACGCCGCCGCCAACGCGTCGAACGCGGCTGTTGCCGAGGCGACGCGCTCGCTGCGCAAGCTCCCGCGCGACGTCGTCTGCACGGAGGCGGCGCGCGAGGCCGCCTGGCTCGTTTACGATCGCCGTTACCGCGGTTACGACGACGTGTCGCGCGCGCTCGCGGCCGACGTTCTGCTCGCGTGCGACCCGCCGCCGTCGCTGCTGCGGCGCCTCCTGCTGACCAATTACAGCACCGCCGAGGTCAACTCGTACGTCGCCGAGAAGATGAAGGACGTCGCCACCAGGGAGCGCCGCATGAGGTGAGCGAAGGGGCGGTGGCGCCGCCTGGAAGTGGGTTAGGTTGTAGGGTGTTGCCGCCAGGGAGTGGGTATAGGTGAGCGAGGGCAGTGGCGCCACCTAGTGGGTTAGATGAAGGATTTTGCCACCAGGGAGCAGGGGCATGAGGCTGGTTAATGTCGGTGAAGAGTGGCGCCAGCTGGTGAGTAATAAGAAGCCGAAGAATCTGGCCACCAGAGGTCAGGAGTTGTCGTCCGTCGCCGCAGAGCAGTAGCGATGTTTTTTCCGTGCAGGATTCCGGTGACGTTCATCTGTTTGTTTTGCAGCGACATGCTCACGGATCTCTTCAAAGAGAAGGAGCTTGCGAACTGGCACATGAGAGCCAGGCAGGGGAAGTCCACGTACTATCTCAACACTCTAGCTGGTAAGATCCCTACATCGAGATATATACTATATATATACTATTTAGATGTTTAGTGACACCTGTCAGTTCACACATATACACATAATTCTACTACGTTAATATACATGTACATATGCCTATATTTATACGTATGCATATACATATGAGTGAAATATTGCACTTAATTTGAAATTAGCATTTACTCTTTTTTTGCACGAGATCTTAATTGATATGTAGTGTCATCAATTGTGCATTAAAATGAATTTAATGGTTGGCTTTTCTCATAAGCATTTCTACATCTATGTGAAAGTCGTGGGTAGGCAAATATATTGTACAGTTTCTGCACGAGGTCTGTACTATCATCACTCATGCATATAAATGCATTTTGTATAGTCGGGGGGGGGGGGGCTTTTACGTAAACGTTTAAGCTTTTATCACACATTTATTACACATTATCACACTTTTATCACACATTATC